CTGAGAAACAAACTGAGGGTTCTAGAGGGGAGGGGGTTGGGGGGATGGGTTAGCCTGGTGATGGGTATTAAAGAGAGCACGTACTGAATGGAGCACTGGGTGTTATACGCAAACAATAAATCATGGAACACTACATCAAAAACTAATGATGTAATGTATGGTGATTAACATAACATAATAAAATTTTTTAAAAAAGAAATAGGAAAAAATTCTAGCCTAGTGAAAGTGTCCAGGATTTCACTAGAGAGCTTGAAGAATGGACTCTGCAAAGCAGGCCATATGACCAAATGTTGTTTCACTAGGCCCCAAAGAGAGAGGGAAAGTTGAAAGGCAGTTGGGAAGAGAGGAAGAGGGAAAAAGGGAGTGAAGCAGCCATAAAATGGCGGGGGGCGGGAGATGGAAGGGAAGGAAGAAAGAGAGAAAAGGGAGAGTAAAGAAGGGAGAAAAAGGAAGAAGGGAAATTAGGGAGTGAAGATTACTGGGGTTGAGAAAACATCCGGACTAAGCCACTGGGAGGTTGCTGGAGGCTACTAGTCCTCTGGTTGCCCCTGGGATGGTTTGAAGTGAGCTCTTGAGGTTGATCTGGTTCCTTATCATTTAGCATTGAACATGGAGAGTTTTCTGGGGTTTTAGGACAGTTCTTCTACTCTGAACACAGTCAGATGTGGAACTGAGGACAATAAAATATGCGTCAGAACATGAAGGCAGGGGACAGATTAGAACTTGAAACTGATCACTAAATACCACTAAGTGCAGAAAAGATGCTGGTCCCATCTGCATACATGGGAGTGTGGGTCAGCCAACCTTCTGTCCTGGGGATTGAGAGAGTTCAGATATCAATGAATATCTCATGAATAGATGAGGGCATGTATGAATGAATGAATGATTAAACGAGTAAAAGGAGAGTTCTAGCCCAGTAGCTCCCAACATCAAGGTTATGGACTGGTGGCATTAAAATCACCTGGGGAAAAATTTTAATGTGCCTAATATACTAAACCCTTCTCCTATTTTTTCATTTGACAGCAAACTTGAAGAATTGGTTCATTTCTTACAAGTCATGTATCCCAAACTGTGTCAGCACTGGCAAGTCATCTGGATGATGGCCACAGTGATGCTGGTCTTGACTGTTGTGCTGGGGCTCTACAGTTCCTATAACTCTTGTGTGGAGCAGGCTGATGGGCCCCTTGGGAGATCCACTTGCTCAGCAGCCCAGAGGGACTCGTGGTGGAGCTCAGGACTCCAGCATGAGCAACCTGCAGAGCAGTAGGAAACCTGACACCCAGTCAGTACCCTGCTCCAGCACACAACTGACTGCCCTTTCCCCAAGCATAGTGTTTCAGGCCAGGTGTGGGCATGGTACTGCTAGCCCATTAGGAAATGAGCAGGGTTCTTTCACACTCAGCACCTGTGTGGGAGCTACGCATACACAGAAACTGATGTTCTTGGAGGATCAACAAAACTACCTTTGTAAAGCATCTGGTGAATGAAGTCACCTTTATGAAGGAACTCTAATAGAAGGGAAAGTCATCTGCCCCAAGCTCAGATGGCTGGGGAAAATAAAACACCTTCACTGCAGGAGATAGTAAGAAGCTCACTCTCCCTTCCCTTTTTTCCTCTCTGTAGTCAGAAATAAAGAAGAATTAATTATTCCCAAAGGCTAACACTGACCCTGACGATCAGACCTAGAATTTGGAGTCACAACATGAATATCATCCCATTTCCATCTCATCCTCACTGACTCTCCTTCAGCCTCCCCTCCTCCCCTTTGGAACCAGAGTTTCTCTTTACAGAAGTAGGAAAGGTTTCTCAGAAAAATATTTAGGCTGAATTTAGACCAGTGCTTGAAATGAAATGGGAAGATGTGAGTTAATATATATGCATCTGTATCCACACACAACACATACATACACACAGCATGCATGTGCATGAAGCCAACAACCTTCCAAACGTGTGCTCTCAGTGTGTGTTCTGGATAAAGCCAACCCACAGAATTTTCACTAGGTGTGGGGCAGTCACCAGGCACCTGTTCAATGAGCTCTCCACATGGATTTAAGATGTTTGAAAAACACTGAAAACTCATGGTTTCAACAGTGAACTTGCTGGTCTCCATTTCAAGTGCTAATTCTAAGCTGTTGTACAACACAGTCTATTCCCTATTTGTCCTCTCCTATTGAGAGCAGTTAACCCACCTCTCAGGTGAAGGAGGAGACACAGTGTGCTTTCAGCTCCTGTGTGCCCACATGCAAATGTGCAGTTGCACCTTAGTGCTTTAGTTCAAACGGGATTTCCAACCCAAGTATGTTTCAGAGCATTCATAATTGTTTAGCATAAAACTGAAGGAGCACATCTCATCTCCAATTTGACTTCTCCCTCCACCTTTACAGCCACTGCTTTCATTCATCCCTCATCAGTTTTGGGGGGTGTTGGTTTCTTGTGGGTTTTATTGTGGTTGTTCTGCTCTTGTTTTTGTTTTGTTGTTGATATTGTTTTGTTGCTAACATTCATATAGAACTTACTATGAGCCAAGCACTGTTCTAGGTATTATATAGGTATTAATTCATTTAATCCTCAAAAAAAAAAGGAAAAACCTATGAGGTGCGTACTAATCTCCTCATTTTCAGATAAGGAAACTGAAGCACAAAAACACAACTTGCCAAGTACATCCAGTTAGTAAATTATGGGCCTGGAACTCAAATCCATACAGACTGGCCCCTGCACAAAATTGCCTTTTCCAGTGGTCTCCTAACTGCATGCCTTACATTTCAGTCCCACTTCCCCAAGTAGCCCTCCAACCACTCCAGATTATTTCTGGTTCCCAGACTAAATCATTTTCTCATAGTTCTGTTCCTCTACTTACCAGTTTTTCTTCTGCCATTCTCCTCTTTTCTACTGGTTACTCTTCAGAACCAAGTGCAAAAATTATCCCCTCCATACAAGCTTTGATGACCTCGCTCCAACTCCCTACCATACCCCACATAATAGGTCACACCCTCTTCTGTACTTTCTGACACTTTTAAAACATCTTAATTATTGACAATTGTGACAGTATATCACAATAACTTTTTTGTGTTTCTATCTCCCCTACTATTTTCCTCAAAGACAAGAACAATATCTTACCCATTCTCTGGGGTAAGTACCTAGCATGGTGGCTGATACATGGGAGGGTATCATTAAATGCTGGTCAAAAGAACAAGTGAGAATTCAAGGTGGTAGAGAGCAGCCTAGAGACAGCTGACATTTTGCACACTTCCCAGTCCCAGTACCATCACTGCCACTATCTCAATAAGAAAAATATCTTTATTAGTCTCAACTTATTCTATTATTTTTCAGTCTACTCTGGGAAAGAGCACAAATGAGACCTAACTGGAAACACCATTTCCAAGCTCAAGGACTGGGCTTGATGCAACCACTCCTTTCAGAAAGACCCACCTAGATCAGCCCTACTGTAAAACAGCATGTTGTTTTAAGGTGGGGTGGGGGGCATCCTTTACAGTGGCTGGAAAACCACTGTGAGTGAAGCCCAAGCCAGGGTTGAGCAAGAATGTGCCATTAAGGTAAAGAGGTGCAGATCAAGGCTGAGGGACTTTGGGGGCCTGGGGGGATGGTTTTCCCTGATGTACCAGGGGTCTGGACACACTGAAAAATCTTTTAGGCCTTCAGAGTCACAGGCAGGATGTAAATGGAGCTCTAGAGACAGTAGCTGTGGAGCAGGACTCTATACAGGCAATGTCCAGTCTCAGCCTCCCTTAAAGAAGGATGAGGTTGAGCTGGCTCACTGTCCCCTTGGCTACAGGGTTCCCACCTTTGTTACCAATTAAAACAAAGGCAGGAGAACAGCTACAGTGAGCTCCTGAACCTCCAGCTGCTCCATAGAAAAGCCTGTAAGAGTGCTTCCAGACATAGGCCCTCACCCAAAGTACTCTGTAAGAGAGGTTGAAGAAAAGAAGAACTGTAACAGTAACCACATTTCCAAGGGCATTCCTGAAAAAAGTACTCATCGGCATTTCTTTTCTGAAAAGCAAAGTTTGATCTGAAGCAGGTGGAATGTTACTAAAGCAGCAGTGAAATGGAGAGAAATGGGCCCTGTCTTTCCAACAGTGATATTGATCTAAAATAAAAGTTCCCCTCAAAATGCCTCTGAAGTCTGACATTTCTGCTTAGCCCTAGGACTCTGGGTGCCTATCTTGAGTTTCAGTGATGTGTAGTTTGTGTCGTTGTTGATATCACCTCCTTAAAGGGCCTTCACTTTCTGGCTGCCACAAAATCCATATATATCATTCTCTGTGTACAGCCTGGCAGAGTAAATGGAGAGGGAGATACTGGATTTGTGTATCACTGGCTGTCAGTTCCTAATGTTGTTAAACCTCACACAGGTGTGCTAGCATTGAACTATAGAGTGTCACATACCTGAGTTTGAAAATAAAAGCACATTTCCAAACCAATGGCAGTAGCCAAATGCCTCCTCATTTTATGGAGCTAAGCCACAATCTTGCCCCAACTCTGAATTAGATCCCCTTAGATATTAGTGCTTCCCAGAACCAAGCCAAAAGTCCCCAGCCCTTGGGTCACTGTACTATGGGCTACCTCTTAGGGGTTGGATTGTTTCCTCTCTTTCTTCTTCATTCCTGATCTTAGTTTCCTCCACCTTCTCAGCTTACAATTTTTTTTCAGTTGTATAATATAATGATTCAACAATTCTTTTTCTTTTTTTTTTAATATTTCATTTATTTTAGAGAGAGAAAAGAGCATGAGTGGGAGGGGTAAAGGGAGAGTGAGAGAGAACCTCAAGCACCCTCCCCCCCTGAGCACAGAGCCCAACGTGGGGCTTGATCTCACAACCTTGAGATCACAACCTGAGCCAAAACCAAGAGTAGGATAGTCAACCTACTGCACCACCCAGGTGCCCCTGATTCAACAATTCTATAGATTTCTCAGTGCTCATCAAAATAGTCTCCCCTTGGAGCTCCAGTGGCGTAATCGGTTAGCGTGTGGTACTTATACAAAATAGTGTCTTCTTAATCCCCTTTACCTATTTCACCCATCCCCCCACCCACCTCCCTTCTAGTCACCACCAGTTTATTCTCTGTATTTAAGAGTATGTTTTTTTGTCTCTTTTAATTTTTAAAATTAATACATTTTTGCTGTGCTAGAGACTGCTGAATTTTCACCAACATGATTTCCACAGCTAGACTATATTTTTCAGTCTTTCTTTAAAATTTTTTTATTATGTTAGTCACCATACAGTACATCATTAGTTTTTGATTTGGTGTTCCATGATTCATTGTTTGTGTATAACACCCAGTGCTCCATGCAATACATATATTTTTCAATCTTTCTTGCAGCTAGATGTAGGGGAATGTAGACCTTTCAGAAAGTAATGTCCTAAAAACGACTCTCCTGCCCAATATTTCACACTGTCTTTATTTCCCCTCTTCTTACCAAAGTCAGAGGATTTAGTTGAGGACCTGAGGCCTGAGAAGATGGAAGCTGGATCTTTGAATGGGCACTCACAGAATTCAGCTGTGACATGAGCAAGAAATAAAATTTCAGTGTATCAGGCCACTGAAATTCAGGAATATCTGTTATAGCAGTTAGCCTACTTTGATTAATGCATAGATTTGAACCACAAAGGTGGTGCTTCAATAACAAGTTTTCAAAATATGAGGCACTGGCTTAGCAGTCAAGCAGCAGAAAACAAGAAAACTAATTTCAGGAGCTAGAAATATGGTGACTCATGTGGTGAGTAAAACAAAAATATTTGGCAAAGGGTTACCCATGATAATTTGAAAGGCAGCCCATGGGCAGCCTATAGCCCTAGGAGAAGTGGCTGGAATAAATCCATGTGAGGCTTTATTGGCTGCCTTTGGCAAGATATTGTAAGAAAAAGAAGCACTTGGGAAAGAATTGGCTATTTGGAAGTAGAAAGAAAAATATACAGAGGGTTCAGACTGAAGGCTTAGAAAGCCTGACTGTTTCTAAACTCCAAACAGTAAGAATAAAAAGAGCTTTCAGTGGGAAAGAACCAATAAAATTTTTCAGTTGAACTCAGATCAACTCAGCATATGGCAAAGACCAGATTAAGGATATGGCCCTTCCATCTGTGGTTTCACATGAACTCAGTGTAGGCACCATTAGAGAAAGAGAGAGAGGAATGGAGTGAGAAAACAAAGAAATGCATCTTGCTAATTATGACTGGGAAAGGATTTGGGGTATGGTTATTCGCAACGGAATCAAATGGAAGCAAATAGGTCAGAAATCTGGGTTTCTGAGGGAATTGTATTTACAAAGAAACATGAGCCAAGATGAAAAAGTTCAACTATTCAAATTAGAAAACAACTTTTGGGATCTTCAGCTTTATACCAAGAGAAGGCAGATTGCAAAAGCTGTGTTACCCCCCAGGAGGGCATACTCCTTAAATCCTACTTCAAATGTGGCCAAGAAGATTGTATACAATGAAGGGCCACAGAATCAGTGGACACATGGGACACGGGAGTTTCTCCCAGAAAGCAGAATCAAGATCTAATCAAAGGTAAGTAATTGCAGTAGGAAGAATTTCTAAAATACACCCCCCAAGATGTCCCACCCCAATCCCTGAAACCTTTGAATATGAAATATTACTACTGTTATGTTATATGGTAAAGCTGACCTTAAAATAGGGAAATCATCTCAGTGGGCCCAATGTAATCACATCAGCCCTTAAAAGCAGAGAGCTTTCATCAAAAACTAATGATGTAATGTATGGTGATTAACATAACAATTAAAAAAAAAGCAGAGAGGGCGCCTGGGTGGCTCAGTTGGTTAAGCGACTGCCTTCGGCTCAGGTCATGATCCTGGAGTCCCTGGATCGAGTCCCGCATCGGG